TTTGAGAGCAAGGGAGAGGGCTCTACAGCTGAATCCCATTTGCAGCTTCTGTAATTCTGGTCTCGTGGTGCCATCTCCTGCCTGCCTCTCCTTGCCTGTGTTAAAGATGTCCTTAGTTTGTGGATGGATAGCCCTGCTTCTTTTTTTATTCATGTGTCGTATGGACAAAACCTTTCCTTTTGGACCTAGGAACAAAACCACCCCCAAGGTGAGGGCTTGGTGGTGTTGGTTGTGCTGGTGGCATATGGGGCACAGAGAGCCAAGAGCTGTCAGGCTGCCAAGGCATGTGCTGGAGCTGATGGGCTCTTCCACCCATGTTGTAGGGCAGCATCCCCTCCCGCCTCTGCATGTCCCCCATCCCCAGGGAGGAGAGCCCAGAGGGTCCCGCTCAGCCCTCTCACGGGCACGAGGCCTCCAGCGCTGAGGGGACCCTGCACAAGAGGAGGCGACGCAGGAGGAAGCCCAAGCAGAGGGAGGTGTTGGACTCAGCGTTAGAAGGCTGCGAGGAGACCAAAAGCAAGGTGTCTGTGGAGGAGCCATGCAAGCTGCCAGCCCCCGGGTGAGTGGCTTGGTCTGGGCAGGGCGGTGTGGTGGGTGAAGCCTGTAGGTGTGCTTGGTGATGCCCAGCAGTACTGAAACACGGGGAAAGTGTTTTGAGTTGGACCCCAGCCTTCTGTGGAGTAGAAAGCCAGTGGAAATGGTGAAGTTGGGTGTTGCCAGCTTCGCGGGTGAGCAGGCTGGTGCATGAGAGTAGCATGACTGGCTTCTTTCCTCCTTTGCAGTGATTCAGTGTATTTCTCCTTCGCTGATCTCCCTGAAGAAGAAACTGGGTCGTTGCAGTCCCCAGAGGTGCATCCTTACTCTGACGGGGAGCTGGCCTCCATGGACAGGTAACAGGCAGAGCCAAGGTGATCTGCTAGCCTTTGGGACATGCCTTGTGGTTGGGAAGGTGGTAAGGAAAAGGGATTTGGGTGTCAGGAGGGAAGGGTTTTCCTGGCCTGAGACGGTGTGTCTGGAGGAAGGCTCACAGCCCATGAGGGACACTTCTGGCCATGGTCACAGATGCAAGAAACCTGTGTGCACAGGGCTCTTCTGCCTCTGCTGAGCTGCTTCTGGACAATGGCGCATAGCACTTTGCTTCCTTGGGCCTCAGCTTCCCATAGGTCTTGCTCATCTGTAAGTGTTAATCTTATGGGGCAGAACTGACATTAGGGGAAACCAACCTTACAGGGTTCTTGGCCCTAGACATCCTTGCAGTGATAGGAAAGCATGGGGCTGTAGGGTAGATGAGGTCCAACATTCCAATTTCTTCTTGTAGCCCCACCCTGAGCCATCCTTCTTCTCCCAAAAGTGACTCTGAGCTGGAGATCAGACCGCTGGAGAGTTTTGCTCTAGGAGCTGAATCCTGCATGCAGTGGACCTGGGGAAGGCTCCCTCAGGTGAGACCCTGCTCTTGCTCTTCTCCAGCAGCTGGTGGGAGGGGATATCTGGAAGGCTTGCAGAAAGTGGAGGAGGCTGTGGCCAGGCAGCCTTAGAGGAGTTGTCCTATTCTGCCTGATGCTTTGGGCAACTTCCCATCCTCAAACCTGTTCTTCTGTGTTCTTTGAGGTGAATAAATCGGAGCGAGCTGAACCACCTAAGTCCACAAAGACCTTTGCTAATGCAGCAACTACTATCTCTGTGACACCAGTCCCAGTGGATGAGGCAACCCATCTTGCTGCCACCTCTGAAAGTCTGGGAGGAGGTCCAAGCCCAGTGGAACATCAGGCTGCACCTTGTTCCTCCGCCGTGTCTGCTGTTGAACCAGCACCCATACCCTGGGGTAGGAACAGCCTCCCCAGGCTGAAGGACATCCCCAGTGCCGTGGGGGCAGAGAGCTCACTGGAGGCCTCCTCAGTCCCAAAAGAGAAACAGGAGGGAGGCGGGAGCATTGTGCCAGAGGTTCAGCCAGATGTGAAGCCCTTTGAGGGAGCTGCTGCTCCAAGGCAGGTGGGCTGGGAGGGCCTGGAGTCCCAGCTGGAAAGCCAGAGGAGACGAGGTGAGTGGGTGACCAGCACTCCTGGAAGCGGTGTATGAGCCCAGAGACGCATCTGACTTGGGTGCAGGGCTGGGTGGTTCGTTCAGTGTGACTCCTTCATGACTGCCCTGTGTATTCAAGGTGTGACATGTTTGCTGTGCCCACTCCATGTGCTACCAGCTCCTTTGCTCTGCAGAGACATTCCTCAAGTTTCTCCTTTCGGTGACCACCCAGCTCCCCAGGAGGGCTTTCTTGCCTTACATTTCCTGAAGTCCACCCTTGGATGTCTCTGCTTTTGCATGCTTAGAAGTTTTCTCAGCAGTGGAGTCCATACCTTAACTTGAAATGTCTGGCAGCACCTGGCCTGACTTGTGTCTTCATCCTGAGCACACCAAGTCAGGTGGAAAATTGCACAGAACAAAGCATGCTTATGTCTCCCTTGACAGCTAGCATAAATTCAGAACAAAATTTTCTCCGTGAAGAAGAGATGCTTGGGATTCCTCATTGTGCAAAGAGGGAAGTCGCAAAGTGTCAACTTGCATGGTGCTAACTTCAAAGGGCACCTTCAGATTGCCATAGCAGAACATAGGCAGGACTCTGGCCTGGCCTTTGTGTCCTCTTGGCAAGCGGTCTCATGCCAGTGCAAGTGTCTTGAGGTATTTCTGTTGCTCTTGATTTAAGACAGCTTTTCAAGTAGGAAAAGCTGCCTTAAATCTTTGTGATAGACGAATGTGGTAGAGCAAAATGCTGTTAGCTTTCTTGAGAGATGCTGAGATGGTTGGAAAGGTGATTTGGCTAAGCTCTCTCCCTTCTGTCTGTGCATTGAGGATCCATCAAAAGAAGCCCTCACTTGGGTCCCAGTGACATTTACCTGGAAGACCTCTCCAACCTGGATGAGGAGCAGGCGGCTCTCTATTTCCCCAGGAGGTATGGGTTGCCCCACTTGGCCAAGCTCAGACCTTCTTGAGCAATTCCGTTACAGCAAAGCACGGAGGTATGTCTGAAGCTATTGCCTGATCTTGCCACTGTTTCTTCTCTCGCCAGTAGTGACACAGAGCAAAGTTCAAAGCCTGTAGCAGACCCTAGCAGCTCTCTGTGTGTGCAGCTGCTGCCTGACTTGCCTGCTGACAGCCCCATGGGCTCCAACTCTGATTTCATGCCGGCAGTTGCCCTCTCGCTGTGTGGAGGCCTTGGGGGCAGCAGGCAGATCTCTCATGGTAGGTGGGAGCAGAGGGGGAATCTGCTGTCCTGAAACCCACTGTGTACACCAGTGGCATGACACAACCTCTGTCCCACCAGAGAAGTTCATGGAGCATGTGGTCTCCTACCAGCAGTTTGCTGAGAATCCAGGACTCATTGATGACCCGAACCTGGTGATACTGATCAACAAGAAGTGAGTGGCCTGCTCTTCCTTCTGCTTCATCCCGAGATGACCAGTGTGGCCCCTTTGTCCCTACAGAAATACTCCTGTAGGAGTGTGACTCCATCCCAGACAATGATTATACCGCAGTAGTTGTGGGAGGGGACCTTCTGGCCATGCTGCAGGATGGTGATCTGGAAACAGCCCTTGCTCCAGGACTGGTGATTTTCCCATTCCTCTTGCTTCTTCCAGGTATTACAACTGGGCAGTGGCTGCTCCCATGGTCCTGTCCCTGCAGGCTTTCCAGAGGAACATTCCTGAGGTCAGTGGTACAACACATTCACTGGCCATGCTTCTCAGCAGGGCTCGAAGAGTGCAGTGGGGCTGCAAGAGGCCAAGCTGCTCCTCTGGGGCTTTGTGGGAAGTCCGGGGCAGAGCTGAACATCACTCCAGCCCACAAACTCTGAGGTCTGTCCTTTCCCCCAGCGGTACCTCAAGGCGGCTTTTGGATACCTGGGTACCACTGATGCCTAGAGAGCAGCGATTTCCTTCTCAACAATCTCCTATTCTGATGGCTGTATCTGGGCAAGGCTGGGCAGAGCCAGGGACCCTGGCAGTCTGGAGGATTTGGGGCTGCATGAGCCCACTCCAGGGCTCTGTAGACCTGGCTGGGATTGTATGGAATAAGGCATTGGGATCTTTGTTTTTTCAAGCTGCATGAAGGGAACATGTCACTGTACCCTTCACCCCAAAACCACCTCGACTCGCAATGTGGCAGGAGTTACGCATCTTATCCTGTGAATAATTTTGCAAAGGTAACCCTGTCTGGACAAGGGTCTCCTTAGCCTGTTGGCAGCCGAGCATCCCTGGGCTGAGGACTAACTTCATCCCATGTTCTGCCATGTTCACAGAGCACCATCGACCGCCTGGTGAAGGAGAAGATGCCAAAGAAGGGCAGCAGGTGGTGGTTCTCCTGGAGGAGGAGAGAATTCCCAGCAGAGGAGGTGTCTGCAGTGGCGGCTGTGACAACCTTGTCCTCAGGGCACAGGAGTCATTCTGGCAGATGGCAGGGGTGGGGGCAGGAGA